CTCTCTCTCTCTCTCTCTCTCTCTCTCTCTCTCTCTCTCTCTCGCTCTCTCTCTCTCTCTCTCTCTCTCTCTCTCTCTCTCTAGTACAAGATGTTACTATATTTGTCTAATAATAAACATGTCACTTCTGTTAAAGTTGACGCCTCTTTCAACATGACTGTAAGTACCTGTACATGTACATTGTTCATGAAGTACATCTATTTATGATCCTCTTTTTCTCTAGATTCAAGCTAGTAATTATGCGAGTTTCTATGACGATGCTAGACAGGCGTGGTCACTTCATTTCACTAGTACCGAAGATGCTGTTAAACTTGCTAAAGAGGTAAGTGTACATGAACGTCTATATGGGTTGTATTAATTCTTTTTTTAATTTTAGATTGCAGTTTGTAAGGCTAATAGTGTTGGTCCAGCTTTTTCTCAACTTTTAAAGCAAGACTTAGTCCTAGGAGAAGGACAGGTAAGTATTGACCTGTCATCATTTTCAACCATCTCTCTCTCTCTCTCTCTCTCTCTCTCTCTCTCTCTCTCTCTCTCTCTCTCTTCCTCTAGCCTGTTGATAAAGGTGATTCTGTTGAAGTGGTATATACAGGTTGTCTACTGGAGAATAATGGGATTGGAAAAGTGAGTGAATATCACATGACAATCACATGACAATCACATGCACTGCTGTCATAATGATCATTATTTCTTTATGTAGGTTTTTGATTCTAATGATAAAGGTTTTCGCTTTAAAGTCGGAGCCGGGAAAGTCATAAGAGTAAGCTAATGGGCGGGGCTTGGGCCTCATGACTCCGCCTACCTAGGGCTGGGATGAGGGTACAGTCGGCCTGTGTAAGGGAGGTAGGCGTGTCCTGATCATACCATCATCTCTGGCCTATGGATCTCAAGGGGTCAGTGGGCGTATCCCTCCTAATGCTAACCTCGTCTTTGATGTTGAAGTGAAGAAAGTCAAACATTCGAAAGAGAAGAAACAGGAAGTGACTATAGCCACACCCCCAAAGTATGAATAATTAATGAGTATTGATATATTAATTTTTATTTGTTAGGATTGACACGCCTCCTATAGACAGGAAGAGTAGTGATACAGTGAGGGATCGGACACAATCATTTGAAGACCAGCTGGTCCAGTCCGGTGAA